TTGTTCTGACGACGAGACACGAGGTTGTTAATGGTTCTCCAAGTCTTTCGAGCATTTCCTTCGGATTGAATAAAACTATTTTGATAATAATATGCCCTAGTAGTTTTCACTTCATTGTTGATTCGATTTCGGAGCTTTCTGTAATTGGCCCAGTCTTGAAGGCTTTGTTGTTATCGCTTCCCTTTTAGCAACAGCGCACACCTTTCTTCAAGGCTGAATTAATCCAGGGTGTTTTGTTCAATTAAGCACGTTTAGTTCGAAAAGGAGCATGTGAGTTAAAAACGCGCAAAAATTTTGTTTTTCAGTCAGACCATAACAAATTTGGATCTTCTGATTCATCGAACGACCAGTCTTTCTGAGACATTTCATTTCGAAGTTTTTCACAATCAAAATTTCGAAAATTTCTGTAAGAGATGGGAAGTATGGTAAATCAGAGGATAGTCTTCGATAAACATAGACGACGCTATGATCACTGATGGCAATGTTGGAGACTTCGGAACAGCCTACCCTGTCTGTATAATTTGTATAGATCAAATCAATTAGTGTAGATGAGAATTTTGTAACACGCGTTGGTTCATTTATTAGCTGTTTGAGCCCATATAAAATAAACAGCGAACATTTCGGATTGGGTACGAAAATCTTTGATCCGAAATGGTCGCCATGTTGTGACGTCACATAGTTATCCCGGACTGTTCATTCGTAAGGAAGGAAACTAGACGAGCCGTATGTGGAACTACTGACATACATTCCGTACTTTAAGACTGCCGCACCAAAAGACACTTAGCTCAACGCGGCTGAATGCAAATGCAGATATTACTGAAAGCGAGATGTCACAGTGCATCAATTCATTTACGGTATCGTGCGCTTTTCACTATTTATCGTTGTGATTGGCACATATATGTCACCTGCTGGGATGTGCAAATTCCTCGTCAAATCTGTACGGTATGTGGGCGTGGCTCAAAAGACTATCAGCTGTCATACAGGTCATCAACTTGGAAAACCCAACCTTGATGAGGGACAAAGAATTAAGATGGTATAACAACCCTTTTACGCGGTGAAAATAGAGATTTTAAATACATACCGTCTTCTCAAAAACGATCGTGATGAGTCGTAGTTATAGGGTTACCCACATAATGGTTGGGCTAACAACGTTTTTTTTTTCATGTACAAGATTATTACTGCCGCAGTGGAAATTAAAGGATATCACGCACAATTCTTTTATTGTATTGCGGAGTTTATCAATAAAAGATGTTTAAAATTTCTGTACCGAACTGAAATAATTTAATTGCGGCTATTTGATCGATAGGTAAAAGTGAATTATAAAAGAAGGAAGTAATCTCTCTCCTGGAAACTTGATGAGAAATTTCAGTGGTTGAAACTTTTTTGCCTTACGAATATCAGATCATTCTGAGTTGGGTCAGGCTGCCCAAAGAATTATCTTAAATAGCGCAGTCACTCCTTCGAACCAAAGGAAACATTAGGAAGTACACAAACGACAAAAGTCCAGTCATCAATTATTTATGATACTACGAAGTTGTCCTTGATTGTAATGCTGTCACCTTCACTGAAGACTGTTGCCTTGTCTCTTTGAAGTACAAGGAGTCATGAAAAATATAGAATTACCTTTAATACACGGATCTAGCCCATAAAATATCTCAAGCTCATCTTTTGTCGACTCGAGCACGGGGCTCTTCTCTCTTACTAAGCGTACCGGTGTAATTTTCAAAGCAAACTTAGCTTACATACACTCATGAATAAAGGGGGTAAGTTTCTAAAGAAAGTATGGTGCTGAAGAGTATAGCAGGGTAATCTAGTGTTATCAACTGTCTTGATAATGTAAATTGGCCACCGTTAAGAGTTTAAAAGCTGATGTTTCGAGCGTTAGCCCTTCGTCAATCGCTGACGAAGGGCCAACGCTCGAAACGTCAGCTTTTAAACTCTTAACGGTGGCCAATTTACGTTATCAACTCAGTTGATAATACCTAATTGCCCTTACATACACTCAGATTCATTTTTTATATGTTTCCTGATCCTGGTTTAATATGGTGGCAAATACATTTTGACAAGTAAAAAATCAAGGTACAAGTTCCCAATGTAAAACCCTGGCTTCGATCTTAATTTTCGTTCCGTGCTAAACTTTTTTCTTCTTCCCTAATTAATTGTACCGATGAAAAATGTGCAGCTGTAGCGAGTTTTATTTTTTATCCATAAAAAATTGCGGATTGTTAGCTGCTAAGTATGTCCTCTTTATCTATCTGAGAATTTTATTTCAAGTATGAGCAGAGGATTTTTTTATTTTTCTGCTTAATTTCATGTTAATGTTACGACTCCCTAGAGAATCATCAGGTGTGATATTATAACATAATATGTGTTAGAGAATGATATGTGTTCGTTATTCATCGTAATGTAAGATAGGAGATGAACTTTGTTCGTTTGTCTCGCGATAGAGTCACTTTTGATGTAGATCGCGATGTTTCGACTGCAATACTGCTACTCATCATGAGGCGATAAGGTCGATTGTTTAGGTGTCGCTATTTGTAGCACGTTGGTTCGCTGCAATTGGTGCATTTCGACCCTCATTATTATTCCAGTTGTGAGGTGGTGTTCCCTCATAGGTCCTCATCGTGGGTATCCAAGCTTCGGGAATGTCGAGTCCGCTATCCCTATTGAAGTTGTTTGGAATAAAGTCTTATGTGGATAGCCTCTTTGAGCCTACGTGTGTACCAGTGGGGGTCACGATCAATAAACTTCACCTTGCTCCAAATAGGAATATGCCTCGTTTCGTTAGCGTGTTCCGAAACCGTAGAGGTCTGAGTACGAGGAAACCGTATGTCTCTGTCATGTCTTTTATCCTTTCTCGCATTGATCTCACAGTTTCACCGATATACGCTGGGATGGTTCTAGGGCGTCTGTAGGTCGTGCTAAGTGAGACCTAAGTGTGCTGTCCGACTTGAAAACGGTTCGTATGCCTTGGTATTGTAGGCAGCGGCGAAGAACCTCTTATACACCCTTCATGAAAGGGAGAACAGCAGTAGATTTAAATTCCTGCGCGAATTCTTTGTTGGCTGTTATCCTTGTTGCCTTTGCGAGTTTTCGTACAAATGAAGAAGGATAACAAGTACTGATGACAAGAGTTTCTTTTCCTAAGAGATAACTGACGGTTTCGTTGCGAGGTATTTGGCTCCGTCGTATAAAAACTTAGCAATACCACGCTTCACTGACTGAGGGTGATCTGAATCATTAGCTAGGTACTGGTCAGTGTGGATGGGCTTTCCGTAGACAGTGGTGGCGAGAAGACCGTCTTAGTTCCTTGTAACTGTTGTGCCGAGAAGGGATCGGTGTTATCTTTCTCGATTTCCATGGTAAAACGAATAGTAGGTTGTTGATTGTTTAGATGTTTTAGAAAGCCGATGACATATAGTCCCGGTCTAAGACTGTGAAAGTGTCATCTACACATCGTTTCCAGATCTTATGTTTGCAAGTCGCATTTGCTATCGCCTGTTCCTCAAATTCTTTCGAGTAGATGTTAGCTATAACCTTAGGAACAGGGCTTCCCATAGTTGCTCCGTCTTCCTGTTCATAAATCGACCCGTTGTATTGGAAATATGTCGATCTTGAGACAAAATTCAAGAGGTCGGCAATTTGTGTAGGTGTTAAGTTTGTGCGGTTAGAAAGATCACTGTCGTTCTCTAGTTTTCGTAATGGGGTTTGAACTGCAGCCTCGATCGGTACGTTTGTAAACAACGATTCTACGTCAAAAGATACCATGACCTCGTGATCATGTACTTTCTCGTGACTGATGGTTGACACGAAGTGCGTAGAGTTAATAACTGAGTAGTCTGACTTGCCTGTCAAGGGGGACACGATATTGGCTAGGTATGCCGACAAATCGTAAGCAAAGGTGTCAATACCTGATACAATTGGTCTTAATGATGTGTTGGGCTTGTATATCTTAGGTAAGCCGTAGATCCTGGCTGTTTGTGCCCAGGTTTGATCTTGTTGTAGATGGTTTGTAATAGATGTCCACTTCGTTTCAAGCTGAGAGGCTCTTCTTTATTCTTTCGTATAAATTAGAAAATTGCTGACACAGGTTATTTTTTGGAGACTTATCCTGTTTATTCTTTTGTATAAGTTAGAAAATTGCTGACACAGGGTTTTTTGGAAACTTATCCTCTTTATTCTTTCGTATAAATTAGAAAATTGCTGACACAGGGTTTTTTGGAAACTTATCCTCTTTATTCTTTCGTATAAATTGGAAAATTGCTGACACAGGGTTTTTTGGAAACTTATCCTCTTTATTCTTTCGTATAAATTAGAAAATTGCTGACACGGTATTTTTTGGAAACTTATCCTCTTTATTCTTTCGTATAAATTAGAAAATTATTCTTTCTGACACAGGGTATTTTTGGAAACTTATCCTCTTTATTCTTTCGTATAAATTAGAAAATTGTATTTTTTGGAAACTTATCCTCTTTATTCTTTCGTATAAATTGGAAAAAACTTATCCTCTTTATTCTTTCGTATAAATTGGAAAATTGCTGACACAGGGTTTTTTGGAAACTTATCCGCTTTATTCTTTCGTATAAATTAGAAAATTGCTGACACAGGGTTTTTTGGAAACTTATCCTCTTTATTCTTTCGTATAAATTGGAAAATTGCTGACACGGTATTTTTTGGAAACTTATCCTCTTTATTCTTTCGTATAGATTAGAAAAGTGCTGAAATGGCGCTGTTTTGTCTGAGAAACTTATACTTACCACTTTAGGAAGTGTTTACACAGACGAAACTTATGTAAATGTAGTTCAGAATCTTACTAAGTACCAATACAATATGTTGACTTTAGAACGACAGACGCTTAAAACTATTTCTACCCTCAAAGTATTGCACTTTCCATATTCGACGTGCTCTTCCACTCCGGTATTCCTCGAATACCGACAGTTGAAATTCCATTTTTCACACGTTTCCATTTTTCCTATAGAAACACTTAACGAAAATATATAATGGTGAAAGAAGTCAAGTTGCTGAACCCTTCCGTTTTGATCAGTATGGAGGATAACACAGGTCATATTCAGACTGGTGGGAATAACAAGAGAGAAGAAGCGACCTTACGATTTCGCTACCGTCAGGTTTTTTTCAAGGTTGGCGTTATGTTAATATATTTTGGCATTCTTTCATGGCGTTTTATCAGCTTTGTTCTGTACAGCATTCACGCTACAGATTGCTTCTTCCGGGAAAAACTCGCGAGTTTTCGCTGCAAAAACTTCACGATATTTTCTCACGCAAAGGAACTGGAGATAAGTTGGCAGATGACTTCGTTTATCAACACCGTACTTGTTATTCTTGTGCTACGAAAGGTGCCAAACTATAAAGGATATATTTCTGCTCTTCGAAACAACTCGAAGCATGCCCGGTTCTGGTCGCTTTTCGCTCAGTTAATGGTTGCTGTTGGTTACAACATCATCGTCATATCCACAGAAACATCTAGAGTAAGTTTAATTATTGAAGTTATGTTCATTCTCGGAGAGATTGCGACGACCCTGGTTGTGTATCTGTGGAATACTGTACCCGCACCATGGAAAGAACCCAGGGACAAAGTAAATAATTGGGCATATTCACTCACTCTATTTTTATTTATCCTGGAGAACTTATATCTTTTCGTGTTGATTTCTACGCAAGCAGCTTTCGAAGTAACAGGTGTGAATAACTTTCATCGAACACCATCTGCCCTTCAGGCAGTTACTATCGTGGTCAATGCTGCAGAAGCCAGCTTTTATTACGCCATGATGAAATTCTTTTGGAACAAATGGTTTACTGATCAAAGAGATCTTCTGATCAGTGACAGTGTTTAAGAACTCCATTTGCATTGGTCACGAGTAGTTGACTTTACGAATGAAGGTCTAATGCAGTTGGTCGACAAAACAGTAAATAAGGCGCGATTTATGAGCCGAGCTTTTCATGAGCCGAACTTAATTAGAATCTGCACCGACTAAGAGATTATAAACCAGTTTGTAGTTTCTTAGAACTGACTAAAATCGAAAAAAGGAGGCCTGTTGACTAAGAAGCCGACATTGATTACCTGTTATGGCCGTTGACAAGACAGCTTCAAGAACATTCGTTCAAAATACGTTTTAATAATTTATGCATTTGGTTTGGTACATGGAAAGTTCGGTGTCTGAATCTGGAGGCGTTTTATAACCGTTCAGTGTGAAATGTTCGTAAAATGCGACCGCTAAATGTTCTTACATTTAACGAACAATTAACAGTCACATTTCAATTGAAATGTGACCGTTAATTGTTCGTTAAATGCGTCGGTTAAATGTTCATAAAAAGTGACTGAAATGCGACTTTTTATTGTTCATAAAAAGCGACCGTTAAATGTTCGTAAAATGCGAATGTAAAATGTTCTTTTAAAAATTGCGACTGCTACATGTTCGTAAAATGCGCCCGATAAGTGTTCATAAAATTTTCAAGTTGAGTATTCGTAAAATGAGCTGTTCAGTGTTTGTGAAATTCGATTGTGAAGTGTTCGTGTAGGTTTTTGTAGAATGCGACCGTTAAGTGTTTGCAAACTGCGACCGTAGATTTTTCGTGAAATGCAAGATTTGAGAAGCGTCAGGTAGAATGCACGATTACAAAAAGTCATTCAGATGCACGAGTTTGAATTATTCTTAAAATGCCGAATGTAAAGGGTTCTGGATGTAAGTTACTGGGACAGAACAACTAAGAGATTGTCGTTGGATTTAAGATTGCAACCTTTCTTGGGTGGCTATTAAATTATGTCACGGGTGGCAGTTAAAATATGTCAGTTTAGTGTTTTTAAAATTTACGGCGTTCAATTACTTGTAACCCTAGTATTTAAGACCTCAGGAAGAGAGTTAGGGCGGTCTAAAACATGAGAATTTGAGGTCGACGATTTCATTTAGGAATCTAACACCACCGAATGTCCGTGGAAGTATGATTTTTAGAGTGCCAGGAAATAATGAACAATGGGAAATAATATGATGATTGCCTTGATTTTTAGGGGTAGGGTATCAACTGGGTTTGGCTATCATCGCTGAATTTCTGAGACACAAAACACTTTTTTCGGTCTAATCTTTAAACCTTATCGTTTAATCACGCACCCAACACCTGTTTACTTAAAGTGGATGTAATTTAATAATTTGGTCATAGAGAAAGAAATTTCATTTTCTTAACGTTTTTGATAACAACAACAAAGAATAGAGTTGAAAAGACGACTTTTCTTGGACTGTTTTCTTATTCTGTTCTGAAAGTCACCTGCAAACAAAAGCAGGGCATGAGATATCAATTCCGAATCAAATCCACAAACTTATTGCATAATCGTTCGGGACAAGTCTCATGAAGTCGGTACCGTTTGTGCCTTCGTTTCAAGTACCTCATTGTGTTCTCATCCCTAATCACTCCTGCATACCAGGTGTTTATTTTTTTTAAATCAGTTGTTTAAAGCGAACGCTATTGAATTACTACTTAAAACGTAACGACTTAGTACTACATTACGGAATCTATGAATATAATACAGGAGCTTCAGTACTGAGAGATATAATTGGAAAACTATTTTAAGTAATTATTAAGGGTATACATGTACATGTACAGCTTGTGTTTTGTAGTAATTATGTTACTCGTTGTAACTGAGTAACTTAACTTGTGGTCGGGTTTGATGATTTAAGTAAACACCAGAACTTACATTATCCAAGGTGTGATCGTAATGTTTGTCTTTGAAGTCCTCTGAGGGAGCTATGATGGTGTAGGCTTGGGACTTGTTGAGGCTGAGGTCACCTAGGTAACCTTGTGGATCAATTGGAAGTTCAAAATGACCTCCTCTGACATCTCTTGCATTTATGTTAGCAGTAAGATGTGCCAATGCAGCATTCCTTCGCTCTCTACCATACCTATAGAAAAAGGTGACAATAATGATTTTTAATATTTAAAAGCAGGGACATGTGAGATATACAAATGAACATGATCTACACTCAATCCAAAATTTTTTAAGGTTTTAATCATGAACGCAGACCGCCCAAACAGCATATGTTAACTAATACACCAACCTTGACTCCAGATCAAGACATGAAAAAGACATAAAAATCCCTACAAACCTTAGAACCATAATGAACTTCCAGTGCCAAGTCAGTCAATATTTTGCTCTGCTTTTTTACCCTCTCCTCCAGTATTGTAGGTCGGGATGTTTGTCCATCTGCTAAACGTCCAGCCAGAGATAGTGTTGACTCTGGGGGCTTAATACAGCCAGTGAACACTTTAAATATTGATGAACATGTTATTTTTGCCTTTGAGTAATAAATCAGTTTGAGTTATTTTAGCCTGTTTCAGGCTCTAACCCACTGGGCGGGCGAGCGATGAACGACCGTTGTGTTCGTTTAAGGGAAACGGCTGCGTGAACCCGCCATTTCGCTCTTTTACTCATTTCCATTAACCGAGAGCCTAGCAGAGGTTAGGGTTATTTAGCTCCCTCTCACTTTGACTAAGGAGCTTTTTGTGCTTAATCGCCACCCATGAACTGTTGCAATCTGAAATCCAACGACAATCTCTCAGTTGTTCTGTCCCTGCCACTTACATGCAGAAACCTTTACATTCGGCATTTTAAGAGTAATTCAAACTCGTGCATCTGAAGACTTTTTGTAAGTTTTTGTAGTTGTGCTTTCTACCAGACGCTTCTCAAATCATGCATGTTACGAATAATCTACGGTCGTGCTCTTAAGAGCACTAAACTGTCGCATTTTACGAACGTTTAATGGCCCCATTTTTGAGAACACTTCACAGTCGCATTTTACGAAAACATAACGGGTGCACTTTTATTAGGAACACTCAACTGACAAATTTTAAGAAAACTTTTACAGTCACATTTTACGAACTTTAAACAATCGCATTTTACAAACACTTAACGGGCGCGGTCCTTTTATCTTTTCGAAAGAATAAATATCGTGACATGTTGTTACGTTTAAGTTGTCATAGTGACCTTCTGAAATAATTCATGTACTTGATTTCTTTTTTACATAGGTACAATAAAGGCCAACAGCTGTTTCCGCCATTATTCCAAAGTGGCCATACACGGTCATTTTTAATCATTTAACAAAGCCTATTGCAGCCAAAGCTGATCCGCTTTTCTTGATACGCTATGTAGGCCTATAACAAGGTCTGCCATACATACTAAGAAATCATAACATACACGATTTAAAACTTTTATCCTCGCATTTAAACTTCTCAAACTCTTTATCTTGGTTCGCCATAAGTGGCGCGTCCAGGTTGGGAAGAGTTCGTGCTATAATGCAAAAAAAAGGCAGTTAAAACTGCATATGACGACTGATATAGCACAATTTGTTATAGCATTGAAAAGAACCCGGGGTTGTATGATGATGCTAGAAGGTAGCGTTGCAGAAGATTTGTCTCGCATGCAAGCCAAAAACCTGCCGCATCCTACATACTTATGAGAGCCCTGTTCCACAAGAGAAAGATGATTCAAGAATATAGGGAATAGTTGACACTCACCTACTAATTAAATGGTAACAAATAATTATGATTAATGATGATAACAAAAGTAACAGTAATGATAACTTATAGGGGCTAGCTCAAGAACCTCACTGTTCCTTTATTGGTCTATCCCTAGGCTCAAATAATGATTAAACTAGTCTTCCTTTAATTTTGATTTGTCTGTTAATTAAAATAATTTTCTCATTTCATTGCCATTCCATTTTTGTGAGACTTTTGTTTCATACAACAAGGCATTCTGCGTTGTAGAATATTTCGCCATTCCGCCATTCAAATTCATTCCGCAAAATTTAGCGTCGGAGGTTTCGCAGAGATTTCGCCAGAGGTTTCGCAGTGTTCAGGCAACAGGATATTGGTTAGCTCAGGAAAGGGCTTGAACTTCATTAAAAAAATGATGTATTTCTGTTATTAAAGTAAGATGGAAACTATAATTGGTCAGATTTCCATACGATAAGGAAAGTGCAAATGTATTCACGTGGAAAGACAAAGAGTACGAGTCCATCTGAAGCGCGTGAAATAAGAACCGTAAGGAGCTCATCATTCTTCACTTGCAAAAAAGTCAGCCGAACAGAATGTGGAACAATCGTGTACGGTGTAGTAACAGGCCCCTTAATCAGCATTATTTTTAGCTGGATTCATTTGCCATCTTCCCCTGATTTGACAAGTGGTATGTGTTCGTATTAGCTGTCTTCGAAGCCAGTACGGATCATTAGGCCGACGACACTAAAGAGAAAATCTCTTCGATGTCGACGATCGAAACGCGTCTATTTTGGCCATACAGCTACATCCTTTGGAAAGTAGTATATCGAAATACCCGGTGTGTGTATTATTCTTTTGGCTAACATCATTTGGCGCTCCGGCCACGCAATATGTTCGTTATCTCTTCTAGATTTCTCCTTTCTCCACCATATTTGCCGACGTGTCTTCACAGTTTTGTACGTCACAGCTATGTAACATAATCGTTTGGCCGCGCGCTTAATGAGGACACTTTTGGTCGCCAAATCGTACTTTCAATGCACAAAAAATTGGTCAAGGAGAACTCGCTAGGCGCTAAGGTCGATTATTTCTAATTTTAAATATAACTATCAACCAGAAAATGCAAAAAAGAAATCTCGTGTCATAAGCACTTGAAGCGGAGCCACTCAAACAAGACTAAAAAAAATATTTCAAGCAAAATTTAAACCACCTTTCAAGTCTCCCAAAATGAATGTTAGTAGCATGTTTTAACGAGGTTTTGTTCATAAAGCGGTCTATTAGGGTATACAATGGCGTTTTCATCGTTTTATATGATACCCTCATTATCTGGAACCTGTGTTCAGCGGTATTGAGCGGTCAACTTATGTTAGGCGGGCTCCCCGCCATTCTCCGTTTGAGCTCGCTTAATTTACGTTTGACTGTACTTGAATATAGAGCAAGATTGTACGAAAAAGTTCGGGGCTATGTCAATGTGAAAGATTTTAGGGGGACTATCAGAAGAGAGTTGTTGCAGTTTCATAGCACAATTGACCAAAGCTTGACGTTTTGACAAGCTTTGTGGGCTAAGTAGTTATTTGCGAACATCTACTGCTTGGTAAAAACATCTCTTGTTCTGATATGAAGAATAAGCTATAATTATATCTTTTCTTAATTTACCAACTTAAATATTTTGGTAGTTCTACAGCTTGTTGGATATATGTTCCGAAAACGAACCGAAGTTTCCGAGACCCTCTCGTGTAGTTCGGAGAAAAGTTTAAAATTGTCGTTAGGATTCACCGGTCAACAACTCTGACCGATGAATGTAAACTCGAGTACCAGGCTCTTTTCTCTTACTTTGTGTACCAGTTTGCAAAACCAACTCAGCTTACATACTTTCAGATTCATTTACACATATTTCTTGATCTTCGTTTAATGGTGGCAAATGCCTTTTTGCAAGTAAAATATCAAGTTACGAATTTCCTCCGTAAACCCTGGCTGTGATCATCTAAACTTTCAGTTTCCGCTCAGAGCGTCTTTCTTCCTTCCCACTTAATTGTGCCGATGAAAAATGGACGGCTGTAACTTTAATCAGCAAATGAATTTATAGAATGAGTTGAAGAAACGAATCAAGAAGCGATCCTCAACCACTAGTTCAGTAGTGTTCATAACTGCGAGGATGGCTTCTATATTTGTTTCTTCAACCGCAGTGCACAAATATGATTTTCATATATCTACAGTCGTTAATCACCACTTGGAAGGTTTATTTGGACCCAAAACATTGACCAACTCCCATTTGGCATGTTAGCTCAGTTGGTAGAGCGCTGCAGCGGTATTGCAAAGGTCATGGGTTCAAATCCCGAACGGGCCTGAAATATTTTTCAGGCCTTATTTCAACTATTAGTTCAGTAGTGTTCATAACTGCGAGGATCGCTTCTTCAACTGCAGTGCACGTATAATTTTCATATATTTACAGTCAGTAGTCACAAGGTACAGTCATGTTCACATATATTTATATATATACAAGGCCTAAATCCGGCGTCATTTACCCCATCCCGATCCATAGGATCTCAAGAGGCTTAGAAAATACTACCGGCTAGAGCTACAGCTTGCATATTTAGTCAACTTTGCCCAATTTTTTTTACTGCGATTTGCTCTACATTTTACTTTTCCGCACTCCAAATTAGTTTTACTCTCCTTGGAATTACTTTTTTTCATGAAAACATTTACATTTTGTTTTTCTTATTCAGTTTGAAACCTCTAGCCGGTAGGACTTTAAGAGGCTTAAAAAAATACTTGAAGCACAGCTTGCATAATTAATCAACTTTCCCTAATTTTTATTACAGTCTGCTTTGCATTTTACTTTTTGGTATTCCATTTTATTCTTATACTACATTGGAATCACATTTTTCATGAATATCTTCTTGTTCCTTGGTCGTGTACCTACCACGGCTTATGTAATGGTGCAGCACACAAGCTATGTGCGTGCATCAAATGACTCTCTATGGGGAATCAGCTGAAACTAAAGCACATGCTCCCCTTTAAGGAGTTGCCATTATTAGGCAATAAGTATAGGGTTCCTGGTTGGCGTTCAAATAAGAAAGGTTTGATTAGTTTTAATAATAGCAATTTTGTTTAAAAAAAATACAATAAATAACACAGGCACCGGTTAATCTTATTTATTTAATCGTATAAAACCTATATATATCGTAAAAGACCATTTTACATTTTTAAGAATAACTTGCCGTGAGGTTTTCATACAGTCATACATGCTGTTTAATATCATTGAGAATACAAAAAAAAAGGGCAATTTGGTGAATTAAAATAATGATTTGATTTTGGTATTTCAGACAATGGTTGGCCTTGTCAACAACACTTCTAATCAAACACAAATATCATGAAAATAGAGACTGATACTTTCTGAGAAATTCCTTTGTATAGATTAGAAAAGTGCTGACACAGCGCTGTTTTGTTCTAGAAACTTATTATTAGTATTTCAGACAATGGTTGGCCTTGTCGACAACATTTCTAATCAAACACAATTATCATGAAAATAGAGACTGTTACTTTCTAAGAAATTCCTTTGTATAGATTAGAAAAGTGCTGACAGAGCACTGTTTTGTTCTATTATTAGTATTTCAGACAATAGTTGGCCTTGTCAACAACACTTCAAATCAACCACAAATATCAGTAGAGACCGTTACTTTCTTTCTGACGCAGACTAAATTTATGCAAATGCATTTCAAAATCTAACCACGTGTACATACCAACCCACGATACTTTTTTCACTCGTCGTCCACTATCTTAAAAGTGTTGATCTACGTGTCAACGCCAGGCCTGAGTTTCACTTTTTGGGGAGTGAAAAACAGCAGACGCATAAAAATATTTTCTCCTTCAAGGTATTGCAATTCCAATATTCGATTTGTGCTCTTCCGCTCTGGTATTCCTCGAACGCCGACCTCTTGATCTATTCTAGAAACACTTGACGATAATATTGAATGGTGAAAAAAAAAAAGTCAAGTTGCTGAACCTTTTCGTTTTGATCAGTATGGAGGATGACACAGGTTATCTTCAGACAGGTGGGAATAACAGGAGAGAGGAAGTGACCTTACGATTTCGCTGCCGTCAAGATTTTTTCAAGGTTGGCGTTACGTTAACATATTTCGGCTTTATTTTATGGCGTTTTATCAGCTTAGTTCTGTACAGCATTCACGCTACAGATTGCTTCTTCCGGGAAAAGCTTGCGAGTTATCGCTGCAAAAACTTCACGATATTTTCTCACGCAAAGGGAGTGGAGATAAGTTGGCAGATGTCTTCGTTTATCAACACTGTACTTGTTATTCTTGTGCTACGAAAAGTGCCAGATTTTGAAGGATATCTTTCTGCTCTTCGAAACAACTCGAAGCATGCCCGGTTCTGGTCGCTTTTCGCTCAGTTGATGGTCGCTGTTGGTTACAACATCATCGTCATCTCCACAGAAACATCTACTGTAAGTAAAATTATTGAAGTTATGTTCATTCTCGGAGAAATTGCGACGACCCTGGTAGTGTATCTGTGGAATACTGTACCCGCACCATGGAAGGAACCCAGAGACAAAGTAAAGAATTTGGCATACTCACTCACTCTGCTTTTGTTTATCCTGGAGAACTTATATCTTTTCGTGTTGATTTCCACGCAAGCAGCTTTCCAAGTAACCGGTGTGAATAACTTTCATCGAAAACCATCCGCCCTTCAGGCAGTTACTATTGTGGTCAATGCTGCAGAAGCCACCTTTTATTACGCCATGATGAAATTCTTTTGGAACAAATGGTTTGATGACCGAAGAAATCTTCTGATCAATGATAATGTTTGAGTACTGCATTTGCATCGTTCACGGGTGGTTGATGTTATGAATAAAAGCGATCTAATGCAGTTGGTCGACAAAACAATAAATAAGGCGCGATTTATGAGCTGAGCTTTTCATGGGCCAAACTTAATTAGAATCTGAACCGACTAAGAGATTATAAACCAGTTTACAATCTCTCGCAACCGACTCAAATCGAAAATAAGGGGGGACCTGTTGCCGGATTCAGAAGCCGACGTTAATTACCTGTTAAATTCCTTCAAAATACGTTATAATAACTTATGCATTTGGTTCGATTCTTTACAACCGTTCAACAGTTAACATTCCCGACCAAGCCAGAACGGAAGAACGGCCGAGCCGTTCGAAATTGAGGTAGCCATTCTCAATTGACTCAGAAGCCGAACTCGTTCTCTATACAATAGAATACAATATGCATATGTATATACATAAAATATCTGCGTGTCATTTGCATTGGTATGCGGACAAACTGTTGCGTTTGATAATATGGACGAGGTTGTTCATGATTAAATATCAAAGGACCTAGGACGCTTCCTTGTGGAATTCCTGCCACAATTCCTTGCCAGTTTGAGAACTGATCCTCTAATCTAACTCGTTGACGTAGATTTGTAAGATAATCCTTGATAAGCTCGGAGGTGTTGTCGTCAGTGCCGTTAAGCCCTGAACTTTTCCACTTTTAAGTAACGTGGCAGAGTGTCAAACGCCTTAGATGGGGCCATTGATACAAGGCCGATAACATTGTGATTCTCCAACGTTTTTTTCAGTCAACTTTATTCTTAATGATGAAAAGGTTTCGATTCGACTGGACTCACAGCTTTTCTTGAACAATTTACCTTGAGACCGTATGTCAAATTGCTTTCTTTTTTTTCCTCTTAGTTCTGTTGTCTCAAATGCACTCAACAGCCTGGATTACTCCTCAGTGGTCTTCTGGCTTAGCACTTCATGGTAATGAATAAAGCTGTCTGAATTATTGAAAAGCTTAGTGTTTTATCTCGCGCGACGGTATCTCATATTCCTCGCTCGCTTGTTTCTAAGAGTTAACGAGTGAACGTTATTGGATATCAATGCATGTACATTTTATGCGTCATTATAAAATGTTCAGAGAAATGCGCGTGGCGTGATTGGTGAGAACGAGGTCGTTATATTTCCATAAAGCACGCACCTTATGTCACACGAGTGCACTGAAGAGATATAATGCACGCAGCCTAAGTCATCGGTACGATCGCACTCGGCGCGTGTTCTATTTCTTTAATAAAAGACCTGAGTAATTTGTAGGGTGATTTTATCTGCTTGTTAAAAGATTAACTTAAATCCTCCGAACGTGATTCTAAGCCTCAAGGTAGATTATGAAAGCGCAAATTGAAACCTATTCTGAGCCAGGAATAGTTAAGTCAAGAGGAAATGTACAAACAGAATGGTGAACCAGCTATTGAATCTATTACCGACCTAGCAGAGGGAAGAACTCATGTGTCTCCTTCACTTGCAAACGCGCTTAGTCGTACTCCAACTTATTGTCATCAAGGAACACCAACAGAGAATGAAAACATTCTAAAGCGCCAAAATGACCTAGCCCTAGTGCAAGACGTTTTGCGGTGGAAACCTAGAGAAAGACATGATCGTTTCCATGAAAGATATCAAAATTAAGGGCAAAATGAAATAAGCTTTATTTAGTCAAAACATGGAAAAAACTCCCAAAGATAAATTAATGTACAGAGAACAGTGAGGAAAAATTTGTCTAATAACACCTTTTGCAATGTTGAAAATCAACTAAATTCAAAATATATGAATAATCACATAAAACTACTGCAATCAGGGCCATTCAAGAAGATATATCATGTTCAAATAAACAAATCAAGTAAAAATGAGAACAAATTGAAAATGGTTAGATTATTCTTGCTTTCTCAGCAAGAAACTAAAACTTAGATCCATAACTTTTAAAAGTGAAATGAAACAAAAAGTTAATGCCCAATGCCATGGTCAGAGCAATTACACAGTTTCATAATTTTTTTTGACTCTGGAAAAATTCATTCACTAACCAAAACTTTAAGGTAAAGTTGAAAAACATACCTCAATCGAACTTCCGTCCTGATAGCAGGTAATTTAGTGTTAACAACTGGGTTTAAAACGTAAATTAGCCACCGTAAAGGGTAAAAAAGCTAACGTTTCGAGCGTTAGCCCTTCGTCAGAGAGATTTTCAATCGAAAACATGGAAATCAAAATCAAAATCAAATCGCTCTGATGAAGGGCTAACGCTCGAAACGTCAGCTTTTTTACCCTTTACGGTGGCTAATTTACGTTTACAACCCAGTTGTTAACACTAAATTACTACTCCCACCGACGCAGCACCACAGTTTCTTTAGAAACTTACCCCTTTATTCGTTCCGTCCTGATACTTCTGTGTCCAAAGTTTCGCCTCTATCGCCCCTTAATGACCACCATCTTGAGTACACGCAAAGATCAGTATCTATTTACTGGTTTCCAATAGAATTATTGGTCGGTAAATACGGCGAGTAATGACGAATTCATTTATTTATTTATTCGATCATTATTTATTACACGGTAAAAAAATTCATCAGGTACAAAAAATCCAATACAATGACTAATATCCTAAGAACCTAAAAATCCTAATCCTAACATTATATTAACTTACAACAATGTGGCACTTAAAAACTTGATTTCCATGAATGCCGTGTTTAAAAATGGTGATAGAGAAGGCGTTTAAATTGGTTTAATGAACGAGACTCTCTAATGTTACAGGGTAAGCTATTCCAAAGGGTTGGACGAAAACAGAATTTGTTGCAATTTTCAGGAATATTGTTTAAATAAATAGACCCCTCGTCCCAAGTTAAAGGTATTTCGCGGGCTAGTCTAGGCCCTGTAGTTGAAAACTGTTCGTTAAAGGCGTTGGAAATCTGGCTAGAGTCACGGATAGAGATATCATTTACTTTCATTTCCTTTACTATCTGGTTGTTCTGACGACGAGACACGAGGTTGTTAATGTTTCTCCAAGTCTTTCGAGCATTTCCTTCGGATTGAATAAAACTATTTTGATAATAGGATGCCCTAGTGGTTTTCACTTCATTGTTGATTCGATTTCGGAGCTTTCTGTAATTGGCCCAGTCTTGAAGGCGTTGTTGTTATCGCTTCCCTTTTAGCAACAGCGCACACCTTTCTTCAAGGCTGAATTAATCCAGGGTGTTTTGTTCAATTTAGCACGTCTAGTTCGAAAAGGAGCATGTGAGTTAAAAACGCGCAAAAATTTTGTTTTTCAGTCAGACCATAACAAATTTGGATCTTCTGATTCATCGAACGACCAGTCTTTCTGAGACATTTCATTTCGAAGTTTTTCACGATCAAAATTTCGAAAATTTCTGTAAGAGATGGGAAATATGGTAAATCAGAGGATAGTCTTCGATAAACATAGACGACGATATGATCACTGATGGCAATGTTGGAGACTTCGGAACAGCCTACCCTGTCTGTATAATTTGTATAGATCAAATCAATTAGTGTAGATGAGAATTTTGTAACACGCGTTGGTTCATTTATTAGCTGTTTGAGCCCATATAAAATAAACAGCGAACATTTCGGATTGGGTACGAAAATCTTTAATTTCCGAAATGGTCGCCATGTTGTGACGTCACATAGTTATCCCGGACTGTCCATTCGTAAGGAAGGAAACTAGACGAGCCGTATGTGGAACTACTGACATACATTCCGTACTTTAAGACTGCCGCACCAAAAGACACTTAGCTCAACGCGGCTGAATGCAAATGCAGTTATACTACTGAAAGCGAGATGTCACAGTGCATCAATTCATTTATGGTATCGTGCGCTTTTCACTATTTATCGTTGTGATTGGCATATGTATGTCACCTGCTGGGGTGTGCAAATTCCTCGTCAAATCTGTACGGTATGTGGGCGTGGCTCAAAAGACTATCAGCTGTCATACAGGTCATCAACTTGGAAAACCCAACCTTGATGAGGGACAAAGAATCAAGATGGTATAACAACCCTTTCGCGCAGTGAAAATAGAGATTTTAAATGCATTCCGTCTTCACAGAAACGATCGTGATGAATCGTAGTTATAGGGTTACCCACATAATGGATGGGCTAGCAACGTTTTTTTTTTCATGTACAAGATTATACTGCGACAGTGGAAATTAAAGGATATTACGCAAAATTATTTTATTATATTGCGGAGTTTATCAATAAAAGATGTTTAAAATATTTGTACCGAACTGAAATAATTTAATTGTGGTTATTTGATCGATAGGTAAAAGTGAATTCTGAAAGAAGGAAGTCTCTCTCCTGGAAACTTGACAAGAAATTACAGTGGTTGAAACTTTTTTGCCTTGCGAATATCACATCATTCTGAGTAGGGTCAGGCTACTCAAAGAATTATCTTAAATATCGCAGTGACTGCTTCGAACCAAAGGAAACATTAAGAAGAACACAAACGACAAAAGTCCAGTCATCAGTTATTTATGATACAACGAAGTTGTCCATGATTGTTATGCTGTCTTTATTTTCCGATGGAAGACTGTTGCCTTGTCTCTTTGAAGTACAAGGAGTCATGAAAAGTAATGGATTACCTTTAATACACGGACCTAGCCCATAAAATGTCTCAAGCTCATCTTTTGCCGACTCGAGCACAGGGTTCTTCTCCCTTACTAGTAAGCGTACGTACCGGTTTGATTTTAAAACCAAACTCAGCTTACATACACTCATGAATAAAGGGGGTAAGTTTCTAAACAAACTATAGTGCTGCGTCGGTGGGAGAGTGAAACAGGGTAATTTAGCGTTTTATTACACCCATTTTGAAATCACTGGTGGTTCCTGTAATCTGATTGGCTCTAATTGATGCGATTTATTCACGAATCGCACCATTTTTTTCTTTAAATCGCATCTTTTTCCCAGCCAACGAGAAGGCTACACTAAAAACAAAACAACCAATCAGATTGTAAGGCTTGTTTAAATTAACCGATCAAATTGCAGGAAAATGAAAGACAAGGAGTATCATGTGGCAAATTTTGCAACTTTTGTTTCTCAACTCTTACTTCCCCCCCCCCCCCAAAATGGACATGAATTTAATTTCAGACCGGCTCAGTACTGCATCATTAAAATATTTGAACTAACCAAGTCCTGTATTTGGGCGATTTCAAAATGAATGTAATAAAGTGGTAATTGAACCTCGTGCCGTGCAATTTTGGTCTGAAATCATACTTTTGAAATCACGCGTATGATTTCAGCCCAAATTGCACTCCACTCAGTGCAATTACCATTATATATCAACTGAATTGATAACGTAAATTGGCCACCAAAAAGAGTCAATTAAAAGCTGATCTTTCGAGCGTTAGCCCTTCGTCAGTCGCTGACGAAGAGCCAACTCTCGAAACGTCAGCTTTTAAACTCTTAACGGTAGCCAATTTACGTTATCAACTCAGTTGATGATACTTAATTACCCTTAGCATGTCCGCTTTACCTATCTGAGAATTTTATTTTTAGTATGGACAGAGCATTTTTTATTTTTCTACATAATCACATGTTAGTGTTATGACTCCCGAGCGAATCATCAGGTGTGATATTGTAATAAAATATGTGTTTATTGTTCATCGTGGTGTAAGATAGGAGATGAACTTTGATCGTTTGTCACACGATAGAGTCACTTTTGAACTCACGTCAGCTTTAAAGCTCGTAACGGTGGCCAATTTACGCTATCAACCCAGTTGATAATACTTAATTACCCTTACATACACTCAGATTCATTTTCACATGTTTCCTGATCCTCGTTTAATATGGTGGCAAATACATTTTGACTAATAAAAAAATCAAGGTACAAGTTCCCAATGTAAAACCCTGGCTTCGATCTAAATTTTCGTTCCGTGCTAAACTTTTTTCTTCTTCCCTAATTAATTGTACCGATGAACAATGTGCAGC